AGATATTCATATTTTCAAAATGTTTCCATTCTCAAAACAAAAAGATACTATAGGTATTAATTTTTAAGAATATTAAAAATAGTGAAAGAAGCATGACCATTTTTTGGTGATATGTAGACATTTTAGGTACCCTTACAGTCTCTGGGAGCATAAGTGGAGACTACCATTTCTTTTCCTTTGCCTCTTTTTTTTCTTTTTGGTGGTACTGGGGATTGAACGCAGGGCCCTGCGCTTGTGAGGCGGGCCACTGAGCTACATCCCTAACCCCATTGCCTCTTTTCTGAGAACTTCCAGTTGTACAGTTGTTAGCATGTAGAATGTATCAAGTATATCTTATGACTCCAAATATTAAAAATGTAGATAACTTCTGACTTACAGAAATGTGAATTTTTACAGTTAAGTGAATGTACGGGAAAACTTTTTAGCATTTGATTTATTTAAATTTTATTTTCTTTATTAAAACCCCTGTACTTAGAAAATAATAGCAGAAAAGAAAATTGCTGTACATGTTTTATTTTACTACTGTTTCAACTGTGTAATTTATGTTCTGGTATATCATTTTTCATTTTTATATAAACAAAACTGGAGCTAATTTTCCCTACTGTAGGTCAGTTTTAAACTATAGAAACTTAATCACATTTTGTAAAGGGCTAAAAATATGGTTTAAATTACAGATTGATAATATTTTAATTCTAACTGAAAGATAATGTACATAAGCATGAATCTGATTTTAATAAAGATTTTAAAATAGCAATAATGGATCTCATTTTTACATTTCAGAGTAGTGAATACCAATGAATCAAACAGTACTGTTTTATGAAAGTCATATATCTTGTATATATGTATATGTATATGTTTTGGAACCCACGTTAAGGAAATAAGGCCAGATTTTCTAAGTTAACATTATTGAATATTAACCCTAGTTTCTGTAATGAAGATGAAGATTGGATCTAAAGTTAAAAATGTAGTTACATTTAAAAACTTTTAAATCTTAAACAGTATTGAGAATCTTTTTCAAAGACTTCTAACAGTTCTCTATTCACATAACTTATTGTTATTCATATTGCTTAGCTCTGTAAGTTTGATCTCTGTGTGTGTGAAACGTTTTGCTCTACATATAATAATATATAATTACATATAATTATATATTTTATATATATATATAGCTCAGGGTAGACTTAGTGGTCCTCCTGCCTCAGCCTCCTGAGTGCGGCAATTACATTTGTGTACCATCATTCCTGGCTTCTGGCTGTTTGCTTTTAATAATGATGTACACAGATGTATCAGAGAGCCAGTAAACAATGTTCTGTTGATAGTTCAGCATTTTGCTAGCTAAAGTGTAGGAGCTAAAGTGTAAGTATTATAGCAGTGAATTTCTATCACATTTAACCAGACTTGTAATGCAGTGTTAAAATCCTAATTATACAAAATTTCAAAGGGACACAAAAGTAAGAGACCGGTATTATGAATGTCCAGACATTCATTACCTATCTTCAATGGTGTTCAGTAGTGACAGCCTATCTTGTTTCATATATACCTAACTCGTGCTTCTCTTTCAACCCTGCACTGATTATTTTGAATTCATTTTAGACACATGACTTAAATAAATAGATTCACATACATATCCCTAAAATTTAAAGATTAAAAAAAATCACAATATTAGCACATCTGAAAATTAACTTGATCCCTAATATTGGATATTTAGTTAATATATTTTCCCATTGTCTTAAAACTGTTTTTAAAAATTCATTTTTAAGAGCCAGGGATTTAGCTCAGTGGCACTGCACCTGCCTCACAAGCGCAAGGTTCTGAGTTTGATCCCTGGTACTGGAAAAAAGTTCATTTTTAAATTGAAATCCAAATATTTACCCATTGTGATTGATGTATCTTTCGAATCTCTTCTAATTTATGGGCTCCTTTCTCTCTTATTTTTTTTATTTTTTGGTTTTTTGAGACAGGGTCTCACTATGTAGTTGAGACTGACCTGGAACTCACTATGTAGCCCAGGCTGGTCTTGAGCTCACAGCGATTCTCCTGCCTCAGCCTCTGGAGTGCTGGGATTACAGGTGTGTGCCACCACACCCAGCTCTCTATTATTTTTAATTTTTGCAATTTATTTGAAGAAGAAACAGTCGTGCAGAACTTCCCAACATCTGTTTGTTGCCGATCGCATGCCTGCCTATGCTTGATTAACATGCTGTCCTGTATTTGGATCTAAAAGCAATTACTTTTGACAAAAAGCACTTCCTTAGGTGGAGGTGTATTCTTCCGGTAGGAGACTAGTGATGTCAGAGAGCCTGTTCTTTTTTGATACAGTTATCACTGATGATCTTTTCTTTAAACCTGTTAGTTTGCACTGGGATGTGGCTCAGGGGCCCCTTTGCTACTTGGTGAGTGCAAGGCCCTGAGTTTCAGTCCTGGTACTGAAAAACAAACAAAAAAACCTGTTCATAGAGTTTGTAGCATGATGATCTAATGCTGTTCCTTTTAAATTTCACAGTGGGATTTTTTTTAAAGAAGAAACTTTACCTCAACTATTTACTTTCATTACAATTCCTATAGGAAAGGCAGGATAAATCTCTGTGATTGTTTTCTTATTAGCCAGTTTTCAAAATAAAGTTGGTTATTTCTGTCATCAAGAATGAATCATGAATTTGTGGCTTGTATGGTTAGCGTATCTTTTGAATGCAATATTAAAAATATGTTTGCTTTAGTCATTACAGTTACCTTTATTGGTACTTTAAATGTTCCTGTGTTTGCAACAAGACCCTGTTTTTAAAAAATGAAATTAACAGAAAAACTTACCTTTGGCCATGTTGGTTGCTGAATTTTGTTTTTGTTTTTTAGTGCTAGGCTTTGAACCCTGGGCCTCCATAGTGAGCCACAACCTCAGCACTTTTTAATTTTTTGGAACAGGATCTTGCTAAGTAGGTAAATTGCCCAGGCTGGGCTTGAACTTTTGATCCTTTTGCCTGAGCCTCCCAGAGCCCTGGAGTCACAGACATTTGCCACCCAGCCTGCTCCTAAGTCCTTTGGATATGACCCTCGAAGCTTTTGGTTGCTCCCTAGTTCTGTTCTTGTTTGAGACAGGGTCTGCTCAGTAGCCCAGGCTGGCCTTAAACTCCTACCTCAGCCTGGGACCGCGGCTGTGCTTCCTGGTTCCTGAAGTAAGTTGTCTCAGGTTCATCGTGTACATCTCCTACTCCACACCCAAGAGCACCCCTTTTTCTGTGTTCTGTGTTTCTTTTAGTGGGAAACGTTTCGAACAAAATTGCTGTTTGGGTGCAAACGGTGCTGCTTGTTGCATAGGTTGTAATGGAGTATTTTGGAAACAATTTTTTCATGGATGAAATTTATTTACATTGAGTTGAAATTATTTAATTGAGTTGAAATTCAGAACTACAGAATATCTATGACTTCAACTAGATTTCTATTCCTTGTCCAAAATTTGTGCTTCAAAGATATCCTGATTATTCCTATTTGTTTATTCCATAATACAAGCATTTCCATCAACAATTTGATTACTAAAAAAAAAGTCCAAAAGTTTTTTTTTTCTTCCAGTTCTAAGATATGTCCTATCCAGGATGCGCAGATTATATTTCAGTCACGGGACAGTTCCTCTGTGTGGCACACCACAATCGGGGGCCACTTGGTTTCATTTGATTTCATTGTACTTTCGATTTTCAAGGATCGCTCCTTGAAATTTTTGTTTTATGTGTTTCGATGTGAAGTATATTCGCTGAAGTTACATCTTTGTCACACCAACATTCCTTTCTGGCAATCATTTTACATAGTTTTCCATTTGTAAAATAATCACTAAGCGCATTGTGTGTGTGTGTGTGTGTGTGTGTGTGTGTGTGTCCTCTTTCTTAGATAAGTGATAGCACATTACACGTGCTTCTCAGTAACGCAGCCTGTGATTTATAGAGATTTTCCAAGTCTTTCTCACACCTGCCTAGGTCTACATTGTGTGGATAACCCAGGTGCCATGGTTTGCACCTAGAATGACCCCAAAGCACGCTTATTTCGATGGCCATGTGAATCTGTATTTAAAGGTCAACTCCACCGTGCTCAGGCAAAGTGCTGTAGAACAGTGGAGAGCCGGACGTTGAGATAATCGTGATAGAAGAAACAAGCAGTTTTACCGGAAATAAAATAAAGCCATAAAAATTAAACCACTCAGCAGCATTTAAAGCGAGCAGTTCACTGAGGGGCACAGGGAAACTACTTTCAGAGACTGTGTAGGCTCCCAAGAATCCTCACTACCAGAAAGTGACTTCTCTGACTATGCCGGGGCTCTGTGTTAGAAAATGAGGACGAGGTCTCCCCGAAGTGAGAAAACCGCAGAATCCCGCCTCAGTGCATTGCACAGTAGGGCAGAAGAGAGTTCGCTCTTGCACCCCTCGGAGCCCAGTGTCCGGTAAGCCCTTTCGGGCTGGCCAAGACTGAGACGCAGTCCGGCTTCTTTAAAGCCGCCGGTCCTCCTGCTCGAGGGCTGCACCCCTAGAGGCGGAGCGCCAGCCCGGGAGGTCGGACCCCGGGGCGGCTACCGTGGGTGGATC